GTAGTAGCAGAACTTAGAGAAGGACCAGTCACCACTCGAGGACGCAGAGAAGAAAAGGACTCATGGGGAGCGATAGTAGGACCGAAAGAGGAGCTAATAGCAATGGCGGTCGAGGGAGGATGGGAAGCAGTGATGAGCTTGGTGGAATCTTGGGAAAGGAAAAAGTTGCAATGGGTGGTAAACTTGATGCAGGAAGGAAAGGATGAGGGCAAGGAAGGAGAGGAGTTTTTCTATGTCCAATCATACGAAGGGCTCTTTCGGGAGATCGGGTTGTTATTGGTAGGAAACAAACAACCTACGGAAGTCAGTATTAAAGCAAGAGAAGAAGCCGAAAGGTACGTCCTAAGGGGCGGGCATTTGTTCCGAAGGGAGGAAGGTGCTATGCCCAGAAGGGTTGTGTGCGGAAGATCTAGTCAAGTAGACGTTATCTAGGCAATGCACGATGGGTTGGCTGGAGGTCATCGGTCGTCCAAAGGAACGCTTGCAAAGATGACGCCACTCTATTATTGGCCAGGCATGGCAGGCATGGTCGCCATATACTGCCAGACTTGCCTTATTTGCTAAGAACGAAGCTCGGTGCAGGTCTTCGAGCCGCTTAGACCAACGCGGGTGTTAGGGCCGGGGCATCTGGTCCACCTCGACCTTGCGGTCATGCCTGTATCAACGGATGGGTACAAGTATATCCTGGATGCAAGAGATAACCTGATTGGGTTCGTGGAGGCAGTCGCCCTCAAGAAAAAGACAGGGAGGAGTGTGGCGGACTGGATAGAAGACTTCTACTTGAGGCATCCGTTCGTCAGGAGGTTTATAGCAGACAATGGGACGAAGTTTGTGAACCAAGAAGTATTGGGGATGCTTAAGAGACTCTGCGTACCGATCAAACTCATCGAGCCGTATCACCCTGAGGCCAATGCACCTGTGGAAAAGGGGCACCGAACCTTGAAGAACACGATTGCAAAGCTCGCAGCGGACCATCTGGGGAACTGGCCTAGGTATCTTAAGCAGGCTGTCTTTGCAAAGAATATGACCCCTAAAAGGACAACAGGATGTATCCCGGCAGAGCTTTGGTACGGAAGAGAGATCGACTTTCCTGTGGAAGCCTTGGTACCTACCTGGAATAGGTTAGATGATGATCCACAGATGACCACTGAAGAGTTAATCGAGGCAAGATGTCAACAAATCCTTAAGAATGAGGAGGTCATGGAAGACATCGCTAACCGGGTACTAGACAGCAGTATGAGGGACAAAACAAGGTGGGACCAGGTTAAGAATGTCAGAAAGGAGCCACTTCAAGTGGGAGAGATGGTATTGCTAAGGAACTTGGCACTAGAAAGTACTTGGTCGGGACAACTGGGAAAGAGGTTCAAAGGCCCCTACCGGGTCGCCAAGCGGGTGGGACTGAACACCTTCGAACTGGAAGATTTGGATGGAACTGGATTGAAAGGGCCATTTCCGTGGCAACAATTGGTCAGGTTTCTAAGTCAGGACCCAGTGAAACAATGGCTTCAGGAGGCCAAAGATAAGGAAACTGAGGAGCCACAAGCTAAAGACTGACCACAACCTTGCCCACACTATGGTTTGTCTCTGACCATGTTCATGGGACTGTCATTTTTTTGGGGACTGGCGCTTTGGCTTGGACTGACTGAGGTTGAAAGGCAGCGTGACTTGGGGGGTTGCAATATCTGGCTTGTGTGACAAAGGGAAGGGATGTCTGGGACATTGTACCATAGTTTTTGACGGGAAAAAAATGGGGTCATCACAAACGGCGCATCGCATGTATAATAGGGGCATGCTGCGAAGGATGTTGGGAACATTCTGGGAAAAGGGGGGGGACTACCTACCAGACTGGGGGAATGGGTGCATGAGGGGCTTTGCGGGTGTTGTTTTGTTATACAGGGTCTAAAAGAAAAGAGAAGATGGAGTGTGACGAAAATGACAGCGGGGCAATCAACAGGCCTACCGGAGGGGAGGGAGCAGGACCAAGCCAAGGGAGGAGAGCGGCAAAGAGAAAGTTGTATATAGGACTAACGGGTGGCCCAGTGGTAGGCAGGGGAGGAAGGAAATGCTTGTGTAGGAAACCCTCACCCCTCCGCAAGGGAGAAGGTATAAAAATCTCGTCTGACAGTGAGGGAGGGAAGGAAAAGGCAGAAGTGGAAGGAGGAGGCAATGCAGAGATGGGAGATAAGGTTCAGGTCTCTGACGAGGAAGGAGTCAACAGGGGCAAACGACGTGAGACTTGGCATGGGGAAAGCGAGGGGGGACAAGGTATGCGCGACGAACATAAGGAGGATGAGGAGAGAAGGGAGAGCCCGCTTGAAGGACGAAGCGGCCACGACAGTTGCGAGGGGTATGAGACGGGGACATAGATTCCCTTTACCTACGATCCGAAGAACCTTGCAGGTGGGTATAGCCCCATACAGACAGAAGACGAGGAGGACGCGGAGGAGGATGTGCGAGAAGTCATAGAAATCAGCAGCGGGGATGAGAGGGATGAGATCTCAAGGCATAGGGAAGAGGGGCGGCCTCCGATGCACCAGTCGGGCGACGGGGCTTTCAGATGGGAGGACGAGTTTGGGCCAACGCCCAGTCATTGGTTTCAGCAATGGACCAATGTGATCAGGCACGAATGGATTATGAAGACTCGGGAACTCGCAAGGGCAGGGGTGGAAGCCACACCACTGGATTTTTTTAACGAGGCAGGGTTACGGAAAATTGTAAGGATGAAAAGAGAAATCGAGACCTACGGCCTGGGGTTAGAAAGCCTGTCAAGGAACAGGGTGGACAAGGAACTGGGCAAGACGAGGCACAAGGCAGCAATAGGAACTAGGTGTTGACTTAGCATTGAAAAGGATCGCTGTTTTTCTGTTTGCGGAGACATAAGAATGACGAGAACGTGTACAATATGGGCAAGTTTGCTAAGGATGAAGTGAAAAGAGGGCCAGCTAAGGCTGTGTTACGATAAGATAGAAGATAGTTTTTTAAGCTACTTTTTGGATGAGCTACCTTGGGTACATAAGACAAAGACATGGGATTTGGGATGAGACCAATTGGGAGAGGGTGTATTGTGAATTCTGGATGGAATAAGGATTATGCTTTTGAGAGGGGAAAACCTTGAGTACGGATTGACGAGCGAGCCATGGCATTGAATGATTGGTCGAGTAGAAGAGAGGTTAGGGAACCTATGGGTTAAGGGGCGTGAAAAACACTCCTTCCCTAGGAGCCTAATCCAACTGAGTCATGAATGAGACTGAGAATAGCCGAACCTGAGTGATCAGGAAGAGTGAAAATGGAAGGGGCGCCTTTGTCTTTGGTTATGGATGAACGGTCGGGTGGGCTAGTGCTGCTTGGGGTCGCAAGCCCCAACTCGAGTGCTAGACGCTAAGTCGGATGTACGCATGGATGGTACATTACTGTGAGAAATGGAATGGATAGTACATTACTGTGAGAGAAGGAAGAAAGAGAACAGCACGCAATAGATGAGATGGCCACCTTCTAACCTCCAAGACAGAAATGGGATCCGTAACCTCGAGGCCCACCCCCTCGGACACTAATATTGAGAATGGAAAGGAATGGCCCTAACCAGGCTGTTCGACTTGAGAATGGAAAGGAATGGCCCGACTAGGCTGTTCGACTTGAGAATGGAAAGGAATGGCCCTAACCAGGCTGTTCGACTTGAGAATGGAAAGGAATGACCCTAACCAGGTTGTTCGACTTG